CCTGCGGCTTTGGCTCCCGAAGCCTCCCGCCGGTGCGCGAGGCCTCCCCGTTTCCCCTTTTTGCCCCTCGCCACTGAGCCGCGAGTCCCGAGGGTGTTAATGCCCCTGGGCAGGGGTGCTCCGGCGCTGCAGGCTGCGCCGTGAGCTGGTCCCCTGCTGACAGACGTTCGTGCGTGCCTTCCTGCCTTGCTTTCGCTGGGCTGGTGTTCCCTATGACACCGAGGTCTGTCGGCACCCAGGGTACCTCTGTCCTTTCTTCCCTTGACTCGTGTGAATGACCCTGTGTCAATGGCAGCTTTCTGCTGTCAGTTTGCCCCTTATCAGGTTACTGATGTGCTAAATTGATATGCGAGTATGAGACATGTTCTGATGTGTTCTGCCATGTTTTCAGTCTCCTTGCAAAATATGTACTCCAGGACCTGACAGATTCAGGAAGAAATGCAGTCAGGGTTGTTAAAAAGGGGCCACTTATTTTTAGACGTGCAGTCTGATGCTTACCTCTCTACTGCAGGGATAAGTTGGGCAAACATCTGGGTGCCCTTGAGCAGCAGTCCCAAGGGCACAGGGCAAGTGGCAGGTGAGGTCCTCTCTTCGGAGTCATAGCAGGATGGGGAGGGCACCGATGGGGTTGTGCCCCATCCCAATGCAGCGCCACATCTGCCGATATCACTCCTGAGAGGCTTCTGTCTGACCTACAAAGCCAGTTTGCAAGGCAGATCTAGTCCAGCACTCAGCTGCCCACAGGTCAGCCCTCCCTGCTGCCCAGCCTCAGGCTGCAGTGCTGCTGGCTCCAGCACACAGAGCCAAGTCTTCCCACCTCTTCAGCAGACCTGAAAGGAACGCACTGCTGTAGACAGGACAAAAGGGTGTGCCAGGGCTTAAGTAAGTGGTTGCTCTTTCTGTGGTGGTGCCCATTTCTTAATATGGCTTTAATCAAAAGTGAAGCTGGATAACTTATAAATGATGCAGAATCATTAGTCGTTAATGCATTGGGCGGAGTTTAACTGTGGCATGCTTTTCCTTGGAGAGCCCAGCAGGGTGTTGGAGCATCTTGGCTTTACAGGAATGTTATTAATAGTTGGCGTCAGAGAGTATGTTTTTTGGAGCCAGATCTTTATGGCAACAGTTCTGGCATAAAACTGCTCCGACCTCAGCTGCAGAGCAGACTGGAGAATGTTAGGCTTAATATGGGGATCATACACAAAGCTTTGTGTATGGGGATCATACACTGTGTGAGCAGTCCTTTGAAGGTCTTGTCATAATGACTTTCAGTGAGGTCTCATCTTGCATGTCCTTGGGATTAAACATTGCCCTGTGTTTCTAGGGTGAACTTCTCTAGTTTTGACTTCTGAAACTTCTTGTCCTGTCTCTTCCCGCTAGGCATGCAAATCCCATGAGCTCAGAAATGTCTTTTCTGCAGTTTGCTGAACTGCAAACTGACCAAGGGACACATGTTTTTCCAATGAAGAACTGCAACCTAGACACCTTCAGGTCTCACTGGCACACAGGTTCAGGTCTGCTTGCCTGAAGCCTGCACAAAGTGCGTTTACGATGCGTGAGGTCTGAAGTGCTGACTAGCCATGCGCAATGTGGGTCTGCTGTGCCTTCATGTGCTCTCACCCTCCCCTCTCTCCATTTGGGATATTTGGGGATTGGCTCTAGGTGTAATAGCCAGTCATGCTGGCTTTGAGTATACTGTCTTTGCAGTTTGATACCAGGTTAGTATCCCCCCCCCGGGATGCCCTTCTGCTGCCAGTGAGTGAAGGTCCCTATACAAGGCCTTTGCAAGCTCTGGCCAAGTATGGTTCAGGCAATACTGTCAGCCCCATGTGGACACAGCAGCGTGGCTCGTGATTCAGTGCAATACTCTTGTTCTCAAATCAGAGTGACTCAGCCCCAGGGCCATGTCTCAGCATCCCCAGCCCAAAAACCTGGGCTGGGCCAAGCTGGGCTCTCTGCAGAAGCCTAGAAAATTATTGTGCAGAGCAGGAAACCTGCTACAAGCTCCATCCACAGACTTCTGTGTTGCAGAGATGTCAGACCCTGCCTTTAATTTCCTCACATACACTTAAAGGTTGGGAAGTTCAACTGCCTGCTTTGGCTGTGTTCAGACCTCTTCTCATTCTGTTAGATGTAAAAAGCTGCCTAATTTATTACTGTAGATGTATCCTGTGAAGCACCAGGTTCCTGCCAGCTGGCAGGGTCTGGTCCCATCCATAGAACTAAACTCATGAGTTCCAAAGAGGGGAGCACATTAGTGCTGCCTACTGGGAGTGGTTCGTGGCTGGTGCTAACTCCTGAACCACACCCAGGAGTGGTTTGAGCACATGCTGGGTGGTTCAGACCAAAGCAGCTCCCAGGACCAGTCTCTGCCACTGGATTCCTGGGGTGTTCCTGATCTCATTATATTTTCTGGCATAGTAGTAGTCTTGGACAACTATTCTTCTTTTGCCTGCAGCCTAGCAGAAACATTCAGCCTACCTCCACACTTTGAAATCCTTCTGCCTGGGACAGTGCAAGGGATTGGTTACATGGTACCTGACAGGGTGCTGTCTACACCTAAGCTATTAGTTGTGCAACTAACTTGCACACTGGCCATGACTGGAGTAGAAAAACAGACCACATCTGTGGGGAGCTGATCTCCTGTGTCAGTCCCAGTCAGTGGCCAGGGGACTGCAGCTTTATTCAGCCTGTTTTGCTGTCAGCGTGTGGGAGACCGGGGTGTGCAGATAAGGACGTGGCTCAGAGACTCCCTCTTACAGATTAGAGTGATGAACCAGATTCCTACTGGCAAAACTCTAAGGAGACACATTTTTCATGGGATAAAGGGTGTTCAAGTGTATCTTTGAATCCTTTCCAGTTTTCCAGCCTCCTGTTCTGAAAGAAAAGGCGCAGCATCCTGGAATGTCCTTGTTCATGTTATCTTCAGTGACTGTATCTCCTGGTGATGCGTCAGGCTTCTGTTGAGGACGCACTCAGCCCCAGTGTCTCTCTGAGAACAAGTTTTCTGGGCTCTGTGGGTGACCCTCCTATCTGTTTTAATTGCTCGTGGCAGACAACAAACCTGTGTGGGAATCACAGCCTTTTCTTGGTTTGATCTGGAGCTGGGGACATTCAAATGTGAATGGATGTATTTAAATAGCTGACCTGCAGAAATTACCTTTCCTTGTCACTCTAACTGTGGTTGTTGTTGGTGTTATGGCTCTCTTTTTTTCTTGTACTTAGGTGCCCTCTGGGGCTTTTTTCTACCTGTGTAAATCACAGCATTGAACTTGTGCTACAGATGCAG